AATTGCATAATCTTCTCTAGTTTGTTCACCCTTTAAAAAATTACAACGTTTTTTGTTAGTTAGTGGTTAAGATAGATAAACTAAAATAATATTCATGCCGTCTCTTGATAGAACAAATGATAATTGTTTCTGAAAAACTGCAGTTTATGACTATTAATGATACAGTGATTAGTTTGACAACTACTGTCATGGGTTTCCAAAAATTAAATAGTTAGAAGTGTATTTGTTGTATCCAGTATTTTGTGACTTTTGTATATTTGGGTGCACATTAGGCGTAGGTAAGTCTCGTAAAGTTGTGTGAAACACCCTGTATATAAACAAAGAGAATTCTGTCTTACACTGGATTCTAGTGACAAATTTGGTGCCTAAAACGCCCCTTTTTAGTACTATTGTTGTACACAAGTGTATTGTTGATTGCATAGTTTAATAATGTGTTAGGTTATGTCATGTTTTAACATAATAATATTTTTTTAATAAAAAACAGAAGCAATGGTGTTTTTGTCACGCATTTATTTTTCAAAGCTAAAAAGAGCGTCCCGGAAATATTTGAAGGAGGGTTTTCGAGATTCGCTGAAGGTGTTCGTGTCTGGGGGCACAGGAGGAAACGGCTTGCCAAAGTGATTATCACAAACTAAACGACCGAAACTTATGTAAAAATTTGTAGATTTGGGGGTGTCGGGGGACAAGGTGGCGATGTAATTGCCGTGGGGAGTGACAACGTATCGTTACAAGATGTTTTCAAGCGAAATAAAACAAAAAGTTACACAGCCAAAGCGGGGAATCACAGTTCACACAATTTCATCCTTGGACCTCCTGGGGAAAGCTTGAAATTTGAAGTGCCTGTTGGCGTGACTGTTATAACAGAATTAGGGAAGAAAATAGGTATCATCCCCACATTTTGCTTAAATCTTCTCACGTTTTGTATGCAGGGGAAGTAAATGAAAAAGGTGAAGAACTCTTGCTTGCCAAGGGCGGGACAGGAGGCAACCCCAAGAACGGCTACTTGGGGACGAAAGGACAAGCATATCCTGTTATTTTTGATTTGAAACTCATTGCAGATGTGGGGTTAGTTGGGTTCCCCAATGCGGGGAAAAGTACCCTTCTTAAAGCCATCTCTCATGCTAAACCAAAAATTGCAAGCTATCCTTGTAAGTGACATTTTTAAAAAAATGTGTCCTAATTTAATTCATTTAAAGTTACAACTGTGAGGCCTAACGTTGGCATTATCCAATACAAAGATTTCCGTGAAATTTCCATGGCTGATCTTCCTGGTCTCATAGAAGGGGCTTACGCCAATAAAGGAATGGGGCACAAGTTCTTGAAACACGTAGAAAGGACGAAATTATTATTGCTAGTTGTTGACATAAATGGGTTTCAATTGAGTCCACAATACCCACACAGGAGTTGTCTAGAAACTGTGTTACTTTTGAATAAGGTAAAAAAATACTCTTTTTCATATTTATGTGTATCAAGTAGGTTGTAGAAGACTAAATGCATCTTTAATTTAAAGGCCGATTCACACAAAATGTGAACAAATCTTTGTTTTCCCCCTATGTTAATTTTAATTATTTTTTGCTACCTCAAAAACTGGGGTACAGATATTTATTTGAGAAAATAATTTTTAGGGAAGATTGAGGTTGGGATTGTTTGAATTTGCGCATGGTTGCCACCTTAAAATGATTGATTTCAACGACTACTTGATGCACATTAATATGAAAACTAATTTTTCGCGCTTCTTGCATTTTTACGTTTCAGGAACTCGAATTGTACAATAAAGATTTACTAGAAAAACCATCTATGTTAGTTATCAATAAAATGGATACGGAAAATGCCCATCAAAAATATAGTGACGTTAAAGACTTGTTATGGAATTTAACAGGTAAAATTATTCAATTTTGAAATGGTTTCTCATAATTTTTCATAGATGCTGCAAGGCAATACCCGGAGGAGATGAGACCAGAAAATTTCCTGAAATTCAGTGAAGTGATGGCAATTTCAGCCAAAGAAAAATCAGATGATGTTGAGGCTGTAAAACAACGGCTTCGTCGTATGTTGGACGTTTTAGCCCAGTTGGAACAAGACGATTCAAAAATTTACGACGTATATAAAGATGTAAGGAATAATTTAACCGAAAAGGGCCCGAGACTAGTTTAAATAAAACAAATTTTATTTTTCCTGTCTAAATTGAGCATAATTCAGTTCTGTCAACTTTGTCCACTTGCAACTGATACTTTCTTTGACTACGTCATCAATGAGACTTATTCCCAACGGACATGATTTCTGAATTTCCACACTGGAGTAATCACGAAGGACCCCTAAATTCGCCCTCCATCTCTCAACCCCATTCCATGCAACCATGACACCATTATCGAGGCATAATTTCGGGGGTGGACGCACGAGTTTGTAGTTCATGTCATCGCAGACAAGTTGTAGCCCCCTTGCAATAAAATTATTACATGCAGCGCCCCCTGAAACCACCTAACAGATTTGGTGTAAACCAAAACTAACCATTATATACCAATGTTTGTCTATTTTCCGGGATCATTTGTTTCCTGCTGGCGTAAACCATCGCCCTTTGTACTCTTTGGCAAATGTGTCTTGTGACAACCAATTGAAAACCAGCGCATAAATTAAACACATCTGGTATTAAACCGTCAGGGGGCACATCTGTGAACACGCTGTATATATAATCAATTAATCAGCTCCAATGTCACGCTTCACATACTATGTTTTTTCTCCTCTGTGAGTAAATGTACCTTAACTTGTGTTTTTAAGCCAGCTAGACTAAAATTGCAGTCTCGGTATTGTGCAAGTGGGATTGTGAATTTAAATTGTAGAGGATTTTCTGCTTGTGAAGCCGCTAATTCAATTGCTTGTCCTCCTGAAAGTTTGGAAAATTCTGCTAGGTTTGTTAATTTCATTCTTCTGGCAACTTTGTCAAAGGCTTCTCCTGGAGCATCATCGCGGGTGCTACCCAGTAAGAAAAACTTATCAACGTCTTTGGCTACGGCTAAAAGACAGTGGCCCCCACTTATTAAAAGGGCTAAAAAGGGGAACTCGAGGGTTTTATCATGCAAGCGGGCTGTTAATGCGTGAGCTTCCATGTGATGAATTGGTATAAAAGGTTTGTTGTAAAGATGGCATAAATATTTCCCATACTTCATCCCAACTGTTAACGACATTGGTAAACCTACAATCAATAAAATATCACTTTGAATATAGATAATTTAGGCCCTGAAAACCTGGCTTTACAGTCACCGCAACTCCTGCTAAATCCCTAAAACTAATATTTGAGTTCTTCACAGCTGTATTTACGACAGTTTCTATATTTTCACGGTGTAGATTTTGAGCTATAGGGGGAATTATACCTCCATTACTAAAAAAACAAGTTTTAATAAAAAAATTAAAAAGATCAAAATATCCTACGCTAAGTGTATTAAATGTTGAGAATGAAGAGCCTCTCCTAAGATATTTCCTTCAGTATCAACTACAGCACAACCGGTGTCGTCACAAGAAGTCTCAATGCCCAAAATGAGACTCCTTTGAGTGGAAAACTTCGAATAATTAAGAATTGTCCCTTTTGCCGTTTTTACAAACAGGTTACTCTTGGAACTTATGATATTCATTCTTGTCACTTGAGCACAACCGTTACACCAGCAAAACCACACAAAACTGAAAAATTGTTAAAATTTTATATTTTAAGGTTAGGCGACTTAAATTTAAGTTTGCAGACAACAATTACCTCGTGTATATTTGGTTGTCTAACGTACAGGTGTGAATATCTTTTGATCAAATTGAATTCACTTCAAAAAGAAGTGTTTTTTTACAGATTTGATTATTGTAAAAAATAAAACACTACTTTTATAAATCGACGTTATGAATAAGATTACAAAAAAAAATATTACAACACTTACTGTTGTTTTGTGTTTTTTATTTTGTATTTTATAGACTTTGAAATTTACTTAAAAATAAAACACATAAAAACATAAGAAAACCTTTCATTTCATAATAATTGCATTTGCACATCCTTTTTTTATCAATTTAACAAAACTGATACAATAGTATATTATTACAATCGAGTTTGAATTTATACACCCAGGTTTGTACCGGGTGCAGCATCACTTACGTCTAGAAAGAAAATCCCCACTTCTAATTAAATAAAATTGTTGAATTTTTTCACACTTACCTGGGCATTAGTAAGGTACATTCTCGAATTTTTTGGTAATTTTTCATTTACAAACAACGCCAAAAAAAAATAAAAAGTAATTTTCTTTCAAAAAGTTTAATCCTAATTTTTATACTGACTTACGCAGATTCACTTCCTACAATTGTTTACATAATCAGAAAAAAAATACCAATTAGATTTTGAATTAAACGCAATTTTCCATCCTAATCTTAATTTAGGTGACAAATTTAAATTTTACAAAGGTAAATTTAGGTTGCAATTGGGGTGAGATTCCAAGGTTTACAAGAAAAAGATTTTTAAAGCGGTCGGCTACCAGTAAATGATTCTTTTGTAGGCAAATTATACCATTTTGTCATAAATCACGGGTCTGGTTTGTGTTTAAATAAAAAAAAGCGATTATTTGGCTAACCAAGTCAAAATTTCAAATTGTGATATCAAAATTTGATGCACAGGTACAGATTCATTTAGTGTAAAAACTTTGTAGGTAAATTAAAAAAAAGTATCCATAAAACACACAAAACTGTTACGGACTCATTTATTATCAAAAAAATTAGAAAAATTCTCAAATTATAGGTACCCTATCAATAATTAGTTAGGTATATGAAATATCGCCAGTTTTAATAAATTCGAAGTAGCGATTTATCAATAGGCGTAACCGATGCCGCACCCGGTAAATACTTTGTGTAAGTACTTCCCAACCAAGAGATGCAATGACAAATTTCCAACCTCCAAAAGGTCAAAATTAATGATTATAAATAAAAGATATTCCCATCTCCAAGAAATACTTAGAAAACTTACTTAGTACTAAATGCATTGCTTAAAAATGTTAGTTAATGATGCAATTTAAGCTCGGAGTCAAGTAAATGCTGCACTATTTGACTGAGTTGGGGGCTGCAGCCTAAGTTTAGCCTGATTTACCCAACAACTTCTGGAAAGTCCAGTATAATAAATTGGTGGCGTCCTTTATGGCCTATTAAATGCCATATCTAATTTGATTTAAAGAACGAACTGCAATAAATTTGCACATGTTTGTTTATCCAGTTGTTTATTGTTCTCGGCCAAAACGCCTGTTCCTGTTTATTAAAATCTGGACACGAAACCAAAACATCTTAATAACATTCCACCCTCAACTTAGCAAAACGAAGAATACATTAACACAAAAGAAAGTGTGGAGAGAGCTAATGACACACACGTTAACATTCCGGACTATTAAAAGCGAGATTTATGTCCGAAAAAAAACTGCTTTCCTAAATGTCTACAAATTGTCGAGGCGGCAAATGAGGAACATTTATCACTAGACTAATACAGATTCGAGCTAATTTCGTACGCCCGAATAAATCCGACATGCTGACACTTTTATTTGTTTGGATTTTTGAGGCTTACACTGGTTAAATCGGCCAACAAATGTGTGAACTGCACAAACATGCACATTTATTTTTACGATATGGAGATATAATTTCCAAGTAATTTCGAGAAATTTAAATGATTCCAAAAAAACGGTGTGTTGCTTCCAACTTTTTCCAATAAACTATGCGAGTCGCCAGGCGGCATCTGCCGAAAAATGGGGCCAAGTTTTCAAAAACTCGATTTTATACAAATTACTAAGTCTCGGATTATATGCACGAAAAATTCGTAAAATATGCGCATATATATGCACCTATTTTCATAAAAATATGCACAAAAGATTAAAAAAACATGCTCCAATATTTGCCAAATATGCATCGATATACAAAATTTTTAACAATAAAAAATCAAAGTTGGGATAATTTTTTTTTCCTCAAATACACTAAACTAAAAAATAAATAAATTGGTTTGGCGTAAGACAAGCCATTTTAATAACCTAGTAATTAACCCTTTCTAAGAAATCTGATCTACTTTACAGATCAAATCACATTTTTTGCTTAGAGTATTTATTTTTTGGAAAAATTAATTGATGAATTATAAAGTTCTATATAAATGTGATGTTTAATCAAAAATACAATTTTTCAAAATTTTTATTTTGTTTTTGAGTTGTACAAAAATATTTATTTTTTTAAAAGGCAAACCACCAAAAAAAACATTTTTCCCATGAAGGTCCTGATTTTCACATATGTATATCATAATTCAGACAACAAAAATAGAATAACAAAACAAAATTTTGTTCTTTAAAATATTTTGTAATCGGATTATTTTGCTTAAACTGTCCAATTTTTAACTTGAACTGAAATTTTTAATCGGAAATTAGTGATTTGAAGAAAATATGCACAAATATGCAATATTTCCTAAAATATGCACCAAGTTGCCAAAATATGCATTTTTTATTTAGCTTATGCATATCAAAAAACATTAGATATGCATAGAAAACTTACAATTTTGTTGATATACCTCTTAATAACAAATATGCATTTTGCATATAATCCGAGCCTTACAAATTACTTTATGAAATTTTTGAACGATGTTTCTAACAAAATTAAGAAATATATCGCGTTTGTGACTGTCAAATATGAAGGAAAACCACATTTGTTGAAAGCTTTACTTCTTTTTGTAACCTTTAACATTTAGCGTCTAGTTGGTTGAATTAATCTTATTCCACTTAACATTACATTAAGTTATGTTCAGAAATTAATTTTTTATTTAAAAAATATTATTTACTTTTGAGACAAAGTTGTATTTTCTTACAATTTTTCAATAAAGTATCAAATTCAAACATAAATTGCGTCAGTCTAAAGAACTGAGTTTTTTTCGGTGTTTTTTTGCAAAAAAATAGTTTTGAAATATGGAATCTCGTGCTTGCAAGAAAGTATGGACATATCGCTTGCCATCGCACATTTGAACAGAATTTGGGGTCCTGTGGGATTAGCCCGGAATGTGACTACTGCGAGATTCTTTTAAAATAGCAGCGACTGCTTGCTGACAGCGTAGGTCGCAAGACGTACTGCCAACAGCTGATGCCTTGTAGGTGACAGGAGAGGCTTTTTGTATTTTAGGCGTTAAAAGTATCCAAATAACACTTCAATCACTATCTGAATCACGTCTGAATATTTTCCAAATCATCAAAATACTGTTTTTTATAACAAGTGGAGAACGTTTAGTAGAAAGAAAATTTTTTACTAACTGCATCAACCTGTTACTTCATTCATAAAATTGGTTTGGGTATTTGTAAATATACATCAAAATAAATAATAATAATAAATGGGTTTACGAAAATAATTTATTGGACACGAAATATCTCCGCCATTTTCTACAAGCTACGACATTTATAACTTGAGTTATGGACCACGAAATATAGCCGTTATAGTTAAACCTTCCATTAAAATGTCTTTCACAAAATTTAAAAAAGAACACACGTGACCCCTAATTAATTTTAAAAAATACCTAATACATACAGGGTGCGCCAGAACTCGCGCCCCAGAGAAAAATTTCAAGTAAGATAAGGTACCAGGAACGTGAAAAAAATGTTTAAAAAATTCTATCTGTCAAAAAATTTTGACATTTATTTTTTGACATTTGACATTTTTTATGTCTATTTAATGATACTGATGCTCTTGTATATGTTTTTTTTATAACTATTTAGTAAAAGTACAAAAATTTTGCCAATAAAAGCCACAAATAAGATGGAACAAAGTTACAATTTAGGATACAGCTTCCTTGTTTCCTCTTCTTATTATTCTTCTTACAGGCTATTGCCTGTAGCAAAAAAACTTGGATAATTTTTTTGGCAACAGAAATAAATACGAGTCAAAGTGCAAAATTTAAACTCTTAAAACTTTTTTATAGAAAGAATTTTTTTAACATTTTTTCCATGTTCCTGGTATCTTACCTTATATGGCATTTTTCTCTGGGGCGCGAGTTCTGGCGCACCCTGTATAATACTAGAAATAAAGACTCACTCATAGTTCCTCACCATCGCCTGAAAAGAACCCAACAAGGTATCGATTTTTAGGAATCCAAATTGTATAATAAACTAAATGAAGAAATCAAGAACTTAAATATAATTCAATTTAAGAAAAAAGTAAAGACAATGTTGATCAACAAAAGTTTCTATTCTGTGGAGGAATATACCAGGTGAATAAAAAGTATGGAACCAAACGTTTTTTGTTTAAACTATTTTTTTTTTTTAACTAATTGATGAGTGATAAAGTACTATAAAAATGTGATGTTTTAACAAGAATAAAATTTTTCAAAATTTCCTTTTGTTTTTAAGTTCTACAAAAAAAAATATTTTTTGAAAGGCAACCTACTATAAAATCATTTTTCTCATAAAAACCAAGGATTACAACTACAGAGTGAATATAAAGTATGGAACCAAGCGGTTCTATTTTGAATCATTTGCCTCCAGAAAATAATAATTAATATAAATTAAAGTAATATAAAAAAATGTGATCGTATTTTCAGAACGAAATTTTGTTTTGTTTTTGAGTTATGCTATTTTTTTTGTCAAAATTGCAATTTGTGAAAAAATTTTTTTGAAAAAATTAAATATAAAGCAGATAGTTGTAATCCTTAGAGTATAGCTTTTATGAGAAAAATGATTTTATAGTGGGTTGCCATTTAAAAAAAATATTTTTTTTGTAGAACTCAAAAACAAAAGGAAATTTCGAAAAATTTTATTCTTGTTAAAACATCACATTTTTATAGTACTTTATCATTCATTAATTAGTTTTTTCAAAAAAATAAATAGTTTAAGAACAAAACGTTTGGTTCCATACTTTTTATTCATCTGGTATATGCTTTATATTTAATTTTTTCAAAAGCAATTTTTCACATAAATTGCAATTTTGACAAAAAAAATCGCATCTCAAAAACAAAACAAAATTTTGTTCAGAAAATACGATCACATTTTTTATATTACTTTAATTTATATTAATTATTATTTTCTGGGGGCAAATGATTAAAAATAAAACTGCTTGGTTCCATACTTTATATTCAGCCCTGTATATGCTTTATATTTAATTTTTTCAAAAGCAATTTTTCACATAAATTGCAATTTTGACAAAAAAAATTGCATAACTCAACAAATCAAAATTTCGTTCTGAAAATACGATCACATTTTTTATATTATTTTAATTTATATTAATTATTATTTTCTGGAGGCAAATGATTAAAAATAAAACCGCTTGGGTTCCATACTTTATATTCACCCTGTATGGACTGTGACTTAAATTAAATATTGAAATTCATATTGTTATTTTGTGTTTTTCTTGTCTTGTTTTTGACCCTATTGTATAATTTCGATTACGAATAAAGAGATTTATCTATCTATTTACAAATTTTGTCTCGTTTCTTGTCAAAAATTAAAAAAATTCAAAAAAAATAGAACAATGAAATTTTCGGGTTACAAGGTTGCCTCCATGTCCAATTACGAAATAGATGTATCTACTTTACACAATGGAAGAAATAATTCACGAGTGTGATAATGTAGGAAGCACCTGTTCATCGTTTCAGCGACCTGAAATGCACGTCAAGTCGCGTCGTGTCACTTAACACTTAATTTCTTGCTTTATTTTTACATTTCTCCAACTCACACTAGTCACTTTAATAGAATAATTGATGGCTAATTAAAGTGGTTTTGGTGCGATTTTCCGTGAAAAAAATTCGTCCTGAAAAAATGGTATTTACTATCCGACGATATGTTTGTGATACAGAGATGAGTGTTTGTTAAAACGTTCGGTTTCGTTTAGTAAACATAAAGATCCCGAATGACAGTTTTCAAAATACATACTAAACATTTCACGACTTGTTTGTTTTGAGTATGGAGGAGCAACTATTTAACTCCTCATAATCCTTTGGTGCGAGTCAATCAAGTGCCCGAATTTTAAGGTTTATTTAATAGCAAAGAGCATTAACGAGGTTTTTCGCTTGGCATGTTTATTCTATCTATTAACTTTTATTGTGTACCCCTTGAGTTTTGGCCAGTGAGATCCCAGAGTTATTTTTTGTCGTGCTTAATGGTTATTTATTCGACTTATTTTCAGTCTTTCTCTGGATGTATTTTTGTGTTAAGCCCACCCACGTGTCGGGAACTACTTTAATTGATATATTTTTCTAGTGTTGTTTAAACAAATAAAAAATAATTTAATCAAACGCACTGAGCGGTAACTTTAAAGACGACTTTTCATGATTTATAGTGATAGTTCGTAGTCGGCAAATGTTTGAGTGAAATATCTTGTTTTGTAAATAGTGTTTAGTAGCTTATGGTAAGGGTGGCTTTAGTGAAGTGTAGCGCAAGTGTTAGATGGGGTGGAAGTCGGCAATATATGGTGTGTATCCGGCATTCTTTTTCTTCAGCTGTTACATCTATATCTAAAATGCTTCCTGTCTAATGAAACTTAATTTCATGCAAACTGATAATTTTTCTCGGTCATTTCAATATGTTAACGACCTCTTGGAGATGCCCCAATTTTCTATATTAGGAAATAAGAGCTTATTATTTTTATCAATTTTAACAATTTTGATAACAATGAAGAACGAATGTCTAGCATTATTAGCACTTTTTACAAAATATAATTCACAAATGACGAAATAACAACTTCAATATCCTTGTCGATAATAGAGAAGAAACAAAAATATTTCTCTGTTGAAACATGGCAAAAATGAGCAAGTTAAACTAACAATCTCAATAAAATTATTACATTGTTTAGTTTTATTTAGAAGCCTGAATTTTCATTTAATAATACAACAAGTTCTACGAAATATACAGAATTCTATGAATTATCGTTTAAAAACAAAAACATTACTCAAGTTTTGAGTACGCGTTTAGACCACTACTGTACATTATTTTAGTATTTTTTTTGCTTTGACACAATTTTATCAATCAGTGTAAGTCAATTAACGTGAAAAATGAGATAATGAAACATTTTAAAAATTTGTTGTGTAAAAGTTTGCAAATGGAAAAAACAAAATCTTTATTGAATGAGAATTGATACTAATTTAAAGTAGTGACTTTTGAACTAAATCATTTAGAGAAAAATTGTGACTTACACTGAAATAAGTATTAAAATTATGTATTTAGATGTCGCAATGATGACGAAATCGGCTGACTCGTCGACGAGTAAGTTTTTGAACTTTTTTTTACTTTTTTCACGAAAATTAAAGATGCGTTTGTGAATAAAGTTGTATACAAACCTCGGTAGAAATCTCTTTTTCCAATCTCTGGACAGAAATGAAACACTTTTCCCTTAGGTATGTGGGTAGTAAAATACATACTGGGTGTCCCAGCGAGTTGAAAAAATCCATTAGTGACTTTTATATGGTGAAAAAATTTAAAAAAAATGTATAGGACATTGATACTAATCTAGTGCATGTCCCAAAAATAAATAAAAACTTGTGTTTCTTTAAATGAAACACCGTATGTTTCTTAGCATTTTTGGATGTAGCTATTTAAAACAATGTTTTTACTCTAAACTTTTATTAGTCGATTTCGCTTAGTTTTAGAAATAAGACGTCTTTTTTGACGAAAATATGCACTTTTTAAAAAATTATTACACAAAAGCTAAGACAGCTAGAACAATTTTTTTCTTACTTCTGCAAATAAGAAAGTACAGAAGCTAAAGCTGTAACAATTTTTTAGTGTTTTTGAAAAGATTAAAAAATTAAGAAGTTTGATAAAAGTTAAATAACTTAAAAAAAATAAATGGAACCCCTATTTTTTATTTTTGCATCTAATAGATTAAAATAAAAATTGTCAGTGCATTATTGTGGCAAACAACCAGCAATATGTAAAACGTCAAACTATTTAAAAAAAATATTTGGATTAAGTTTAATGATTTTCCTCAAAAAACTTTTTGTGAATAAAAACACTATTTGTTCCATTTTTGTTACAAATTTCCTTTTGTATTGTAAAAAATATCATTTAGGCAATCAAAAGAAACTCACATTAAAATACTGTACCAAGTTTTTTTTGCAGGTTTTCATATAAAAGTAAAACGTAAAACTTTTTATTATAGTTTAAATAAATATATTTACTCTTCATTTAACTGCTGCTTGCGTTTCAAGATTTCCTTAGGGTACCAGGTGATGAATAAAAAGTATGGAACCAAACGTATTTTGCTTAAACTATTCATTTTTTGAAAAAACTAATTAATGCATAATGAAGTACTGTAAAAATGGGACGTTTTATCAAGAATAAATTTTCTCTTCTCTCTTTCTTTTATTTTTGAGTTTTGCAAAAAAAAAAATTTTTTTTAAATGGTAACCCACTACAAAACTATTTTTTTTCATAAAGGCTATGATTTAAGGATTACAATTTTTATCAAAAATTTTTTTCACATACTTAATTATGTTATTGCCAAAAAGAAAACATAACTCGAAAACAAAATTTTGTTCGCTTTTTTTATAGCACTTTAATTTTTATTAATTATTATTCTCTGGAAGCAAAAGATTAAAAAAAAACGCTTGGGTTCATACTTTTTATTCACCCTGAATAACTTTAAATGAAATTCGTATTTATTTATAACGTATTTAATTTTTTATTAAAAAAAACACAAGTACATAAAACTAAGTATGTTGTGTAGGTACTTACCTTTTCTCGTAAGAGTAAGACGTTGCAAAACAACCATTTTTTTTAAGATATTTATTTGATCAATTTTCAACTTACGTTTTTTTTTTAATTGTAAGGGTTATTTAGCAATTTGATAAATAGAATTATGGAAAAATGTTACTGAGAAAATTTTATTTAAAACCTTTTCGCTATTACATTAGTAAAATGTAAAGAAAATTAACAATGAAAACAAATTTTAATTCACAGATAGAAAATTATTGTTAAACATACATAATTTAATTACATACATAAATACATATAAACAAGGATCAACGATCCCATTGCTTGAAACGGACGGAATATAAATAAACAAAACTAATGAATTCTGAGTGCTTCAAGCCACATCAATTAATAACAAAAATGAATTCAATAAAGAAAGTACAAGAAAAAACCTTGGAAATGTGGTGTCGAATCACGATGTCATCTCAAAAGAAGCACTTCCGGTAGGTCGGGCTGCTTGGCTCCTCCTTCACTGTAGTCACCACTGTAACAGTAGCTGTTGGTCAGCAGGGGGTGAACTGTGGGGGCCGGGGGGGTACTCACTATCGGGAGGCCAGTAGGGAGGATATCTCGCCGTGGCCTCTTGTCTCACACCGCAAGGACTAAAAGCAGGACTTGGATATCCCTGCTGGGAGTATCCTCCACTGTTGCAGGTGGTGTAGGAGGCCAACTGCGACTGATGCCCCAGCCACGTCGCAGTGTCGTATCGGGAGTATGGAGGTGGGTATGTCGGAGGTGTGAAAATATTCCTCGCCAAGGGTAGACTATGCTGGCCCAAAGTGTCCCCAAAGAAGGCTTTGGGGTACGGCTGGGCGCTCCGATACGGCCGCTTCATCCTCCTCCTCCTCCTGTAATTCCCGTTTTCGAACATGTCCTCGTATTGAGGGTCCAAAGTCCAGTAGTTGCCTTTGCGTTCCCCGCCCCCCTCGCGTGGCACCTTGACGAAACACTCGTTCAAGCTCAAATTGTGCCGGATTGAGTTCTGCCACCCCTTTTTGTTGCGCTCAAAATAGGGAAATTTCGCCGTGATGTAAGCGTAGATCTCAGAGAGGGTCGCTCGTTTCAAGTGAGAGGACTGAATGGCCATCGCTATTAAGGCTACATATGAGTAGGGAGGTTTGCTTAGGCTAGTGCTAGTGGTATTGGAAGTGCTAGTTGTCGACGAAGACGGCTGGGGCGAGTGGCTCGAACTGGTACTAGCCGTTCTGACGGGTTCTTCGATTGATTCTACAGAGGTATTGCTATTTCCGTTTCCGGTGAATGGTGCACCATTTGCATTCTCCCCGGTTATGGGGCTGAAAGTCGACGTCGGGGCGATTGCTGAAACAAAAATTCCCATCGCTATCAATTCAATTAATTTAATTAATGGTAATTTCTTAAATTAGCAATTAAAAAATAGTTATTTTTGTATTAAGGGCTTGAAGAAGGCGGAATTATAAGCCCGAGGCCTAAAGGGCGTGTTCGCGCCCGAAATGCAAATAAGATTTTTTGTCAAATCCACCTTTAAGCTTTGAAAAATAGCACGATTTGTTCCCAAAAATCCGAGTTGTTGGTTGCTAATGTGATGCAAATAAATAAAAACAAAATACTGAAAAAATTATTGACGTGTTTCAAGAAGTTGAATTTGTGATAAAATGGGCGAAAACGAAAAACAAGAAGAAATACATATTTTAGCCGAAGAAGCGAAAGCTGTAACACTTGAGTTATTGCCACGAAAGTCAAGAGAAATCAATGACAAAACTTTCAATGAATTTTTGCTATGTTGCACCCAGAAAAATATCGTTGTGCTTCAGATTAATGAAAACGTTTTACTTGTTTATTTCAAAGAAGAGTCGCAGAAATTTTGCCCATCTACTTTGTGGTCCCATTATTCGTTCGGTTATGGTTTTGAGGCATGGTGAATGTGAATGTAAACATATGATTTTGTTAATTTTTTTTAGTTTTTAAGTTTTACTATTAGGTATTAGCTAATTGTTTGTAACTACATATTTCAATAAAAGATGTTACAATTGCTGTTTTTTAGGACTTAGGGCGCAAAAGACACTATTTACGCCCGCAAATTAATGCATAAATGACCTAATTTTAAGACGATTTTACAAAAAAAAAACCTAATATATTAATAAATTCCAATAAAGTGATTCAATCGTAATTCAACTCAATACATTTCTTCATTTTTGTCTTAAGAATTCAAATTATTATTTTTATGGGCGCCGACTACGGATGCACCCAATGAAAATAATATACTTTTGCTTAAGGTAAAAGATAATACAGTGGAACTCCTCTATAACGAATCCCGGTTATAACAAAAAATCGGCTATAACGAGTAAATCGTCTGGTGCGTTGCCGTTTTGTATACTACTCTATGTAAAATTCTCCCTCTATAGCAAGTATTTTTCTGGAATTGAGGTGCATATAACAAAACTTTTATTTTGTCCAAGATCGGTAATAGCGAAAAATTCTGAGAAATTTTGGAAACAGATCGGTTATAACGAGTTCCTAAAAGAAATAAAAATCCTGCGAGTCTCCATTACGTATTGTGTACCAGAATTTTTTTGGAAATCTTGTTTTTGCGCGCTAATGGTCTTATTTTTCTCACTTTCTCAGACTTGAATAACTTTTCAAACAGAGAACACTTCTCTTTCTGTATCATTATGTCGTCCTCGAAAAGAAAAACATTTTCCATCAAAGAAAAAATATCAATAATAACAGAGTTCGAAAATGGTAAAAAACAAGCTGTACTCTGCAAAGAGAAAAATTTAGCCAATTCTACATTAGCAATAATTTTAAAGAAGAGGGAGACAAGATTACGAGTTCAATTGGTGAATTTTTGTCAAAAGTGAAGAAGTACAAACTGCTAAAAATGCTAAATTAGATAAAGCCGTTTTTAAATGTTTCAAAGTGAATCGTGAATCCAAAGTGCCCATAAGTGGGGCCAAGTTAAAAGAATAAGTAGAACAATTTGCAGAAAAAATTGGGAATTTTCTAGAGATGAAATTTTTTGTTATTGGGTGCTTCCACCTAACCACGATGTCTTTTACAATAGCCTTGTACTATTGAAAAGTGCAATTGATAAGATAAAAATACTTCATTACAAAAAACAAACAAAAATTACCGATTTTTTTCATAAATATTGTTTTAAACTTCTTTAATATTCGTATTTAATAAAATAATTTGCATAGTACATGTTTAAAAAGTTTTATTATCCATGACTGTTTATAGCGAAAATCGGTTATAACGAGCAAATACGTTGGACCCTTGAGTTCTCGTTATAGAGGGGTTCTACTGTAATAATAACTCTAAATAATATTTGGAATTTCGTGCTTATTCTAATCTTTTTTTAGTAACGTTGCATTCTTTAAAATCACTTTTAATGTCAAAGATGTCTTAAATTTTCTATTTTTCCCTTCGTGAAAATGGATCACGTTCATCGCTTATGTTACTTAAAAACGACAAAACATTCTACATAAACTTTTTATACATATACCTACTGTTCCAAAAAATTTCTTACATTTTTTAAAATATCGTACCTCAATAAAAAAATAGTCGTACATATTGAGATTAAAAAAATCCATTTTGAAGCTTCAAGTTTCTAGCTTTGAGATCTTTTGGGAAAAAAATTCTTAGGTAATTGTTTTTTTTTTTGTTTTTTTTTGCTCCACAGAGTTGGGGAAATTTTTATTAGTTAAATCAATGCATGGCCGGATAGCTTGTTCATTCAGATTCAATTTGCCTTTTTTATGTTCTTTTTAGATCAATTTGTTGCTGAGATATTTTATTTTTAATAAAAAAGAGTCTTTTTGTCTTTGATCATCGATATCTCCGCAACCAATGACCACACTGAGAATGTAAAGATAGTTTCAAATACTGGAATAAATTTTCTACAAGACGTTTTAACGATTTTTTTTTAAATTGATTTGTAACACTGATTTAAGAAAAATAGAAAAATGGAACTTTTTTTGTTTGTTGTTGTAGTAAATCTACCGCGTATTTACAAATATTGATAGGGAGTCTAATGTGTCTAGTTTTTTTTTTACAACCTAATGTACGCCCAATAGCTCTAAATTTTTAAATCGATCCATCAAAAACTGTTTTCTCGAACCGATTGATCAAAGTTTTACAAAGGAATTAATTGTTTCTGAACATTGTAATCTTCATCAAAATGAAAAAAATATTTTTTTGAACTTTGTTTTTATAATTTTGCATATTGAATTAAAAACAAAAATAAATGAAAAAAATTATTTTTTATATTTTTGGAAATTTGTATAAATATTAAACTAATTTTTGAGACCTTTTATTTATCTTCTGCAATCCCTCAAATTAATTGCATTAATTAAAAGTTGATACTCCCAAGCTGTATTCAGCACTCTATTTACGAACAAGCAAATTTTCAAAAAAAAAAAATGATTTTTAAATCGTTTTTGACACAGTAGTGTATTATTTTTCAAAACTCAACAACTTGAGCCATTTTGCAACTTTGAATATGGACTATTTTCTTTACACTTTTTATTGCACATGTTATTTACTGATTACTACAAAAATATATTGTTTTTAAATTTTCTAAATACATTAAATTCAGCAAAAATAGAGAAGAAGAAATAAAAATAGCGCCCAATTCAGTTTCAGTCTCTTCAGTTTCGCTGAAATTCTTGTGCTAAGAAGCGCTCTACACCACAGATACTATTATCGCAGTGTTTACTATGAAATTTGACATCGTGTTCTGTAACAGGTCATAAATGATAAGAAAACTATATTTATAATGGAAACGGTCGGCCCTCGTTCATCGGAACGCACAGGTTTTATAAATAAACAGTTGGAGATCAAACGACGCTTGTCTTCGGAGTGCATGCAAATAGTCTTTCAAAACGATGAATTAAGTCGCTCTAGTATTTCACGTGTATTGCTTGTGGATGTTGGCGTTTATTTGTGGCAATAACGATCGCCGAAAGAAAACAGAAATAACGCGAATGCATCCACACCCGGTGGTTAGTAATAACACGCCCGATTTGCTCTCAGTGCTGCTCCGGTAAAGGAACTCATTTGATTTGACGATTAATTTCGCAAAGAACAATCAATTCGTGAATGATAATCTTTTCATAATCCCTGAAATACATTGTTTTTTGACTTCAATCATCATTACACATATTATAGCTACCAATTATGTTTTTGAGTTTTTTGCTTCAAAAATATGAATACTTATCAACAAAAACACAGCATACTTGTTTTTAATAGGTCTAAACTCTAAATTTATAACTTTTGAAAGGGTAATGAATGTTGCAAGTTTATCTTTACTAATAAAATTACTGTGTAAAACAAATTCCTTAAAATTAGTGAAATAGCCGATTTTTTACAAAAGTAAGCTACAAAAAATTACATATATATATATTATAATTTGTCGACGTTTACAGAAGCAGATTCATGATTCATCTTTTTAAACTGACATCAGAAACACAATTCTGATAGACTTTGTAAAAACCAAATTTAAAATTTATTAACTTGAATAAAACATGTAAAATTTTAATGTTCAAAATTATTTTATACCTTTAAAAGAACAGAATTTTTTAAATATTTTTCTGCAATTCCTTATGACCTCAGTAAGTTTATTGCCAAAATATTTTTTTTGTTCTACACACTTCTCATTCTAGATGTCAGATTTTCACACTCGGAACCACTTAGGTACCCAAGTTTATAATTAATTTTTTCAAGCAGCTAATTGTTAATTTCTTACATGTTACTCAACACTATTTTTTTTATAGTTAATAATCTGTTGTGATGAAGCTTTTTAGATGTTTTTATCCCTTTTTTACAACAAAAATTGTTTCTATTCTACAATATCAATTTTTCGGGGGTTTGATATTATTATGATGGACATGGGGCGAAATAACTTTAGGAACATTTTGTTAACCTCGCTGTTACAATTTTTATTAGTGTTTAAACAATGTAAAAGTTTTTATACCAGGTGAATAAAAAGTATGGAACCAAACGTTTGTTGCTTAAACTATTTATTTTTTGAAAAAACTAATTGGTGAGTAATAAAGTACTATAAAAATGTGATGATTTATGAAGAATAAAATTTTTCAAAATTTCCTTTTGTTTTTGAGTTCTACAAAAAAAAATATTTTTTTAAATGGCAACCCACTATAAAATCATTTTTCTCATAAAAGCTATACTGTAAGGATCTGCTTTATATTTAATTTTTTCAAAAAAAAATTTTCACATAAATTGCAATTTTGACAAAAAAAATCACATAACTCAAAAATAAAACAAAATTTCGTTCTGAAAATACGATCACATTTTTTATATTACTTTAAATAAAACCGCTT